AGTTTTTCAGATTCTTTTTGAATTCTGCATTTTGTGTATAATTGTAAATAATACTACTGAGCTTATACAAGATTTTAAAATTTCTGCGAGGAAAGATAGAAAATTAATCAAGTATTTCTTCTTTGACCTGCTTTTTGAAAAGTTTCAAGTAACATTCTATAAATTAAAGTAAATTTAATAAAAAGTATATATGTAGAGCAGGGCAAAGCACAATGGTCTAATTTGACTTTGAGCAAATATCACCTATATCACGAAAACTAAGCTAATTATGTCACAACAAATAACACATTTTAAACGAACAATTTTTTTGACTACGTTCAGTAAAACTGTCAGCTACTTCATCATTAAAAAAATGTGCTTTCTTGCCGTCTTTCAAAAATTTGTCAAATATGTTTCAAAAATTTGTCAAAAACTTTTTACCCTATAGGCGGAGTAACTTGAAATGGCCAGGTGGCAAACAGGTTTAATGTCTTATTTTAATTTTAAAGGTATTTTACAAAATAATTACACTTTTAACTAATGCTAAAAAAAACTACCAACGGAAGAAAATACTTTTATTGTGGGTTTTCAAGGATTAACGTTTATCTCCCGATAGCATGGTCATGAGAATCAAGGTTATAGCTGGTTATACATCCTTTTACCTCTACATTCAAATATTGAGTTAAACAATGTTTAACTTTACTGGTTTTTGACACATTGGTGGTGGACGTTTTTAACCCCGGACCTTCATATTTTACTGTCTATTTTTCGATAAATTCTGGGAAATTATAACTGGGAAAATGATATTTGACAGAATGTCCCTTTGATTGATACCAAATTTAGGTTCTGAATTGAAATAACATAAATAAAAAATAATATAACCTAGAGAATGGTTTATAAATACCAATGAGTATATAATTATACAAATGAGATCTTTCAGAGCACCGTGTTTGAGAGAAATATGATTTGCAAAAAAAGAGTGCTACAACGCCAAAAATTGCGTTTTCATATTAACATTTCAATAAGATTGATATTTTGAATTATTTTGTTTCTAGTAACACTTGCGGCCCCTTTACTAACGTTTTTGTATATAAATAAAACTACGAACAAATCTACTTACTACAATTTAATCATAATTAAATAATATTTATGCAGAACATCCTATTAAAAGTAATTAAACATCATCTGTCAAAAACGTTTGACATTTCACTTATTAGCCAGCGTCCATTGTTTTATTCAAGGTACGCTTCTATACAAATTTTCAAATTAAAAATGTAAAGTTTCTACGCAATTTTGAAATAATATCTCACCTTTCCGACCACCTACTGATTAGCACGAATTTTTCAAAACTAAGACTGGCCAAATCGGTTTAGCCGTTTTCGAGTTTCACTAAGACATTTGAAAGAGAGCTCCATTTTTATATATATGATGAACTGAATTGCAAAGTTAATTTTTTTTATTTGAATCATTTAAGAGCATCAGAACTTTAGCCAGAATCAAAATTAAAATCTGAATTATTTTAAATAAATTTTATATATAAAAAAATTAAAATAAGTGGCGCATGGCATCGTACCTTAAGGCAAATTACTGGAACTTTCCGTACCGTAATTAAACATTTGAGGAATAAAAATAATCAATAATTGTTTTGAATAATTTCAAATAGATTATTTATTACATACTGTAAACTTATAAATGCTTTTTAAATTGGGCGACAAGCGTATTTTAAGAACAACTTATGTACTTAGAAATTTTTGATAATTTAGAATTTTTTTCAAAATTTTGAATTTTTTTTAGAAGTTTGAATATTTTTGGATTTAAAAAAAACGTTTTTTCTAAATATTTTGAGAATTTGGAAATTTTTGAAAATATTCGATTTGTTTTTTAAATTATCGAAATATTCTCTAATTTTTGTAAGAAATCTTATTTTCTGATTTTTCAAAATTTAGTTTTTTTTAAAAAATGACGAAAAATTTCAAAAATTAGAATTTTTGGAAACTTTGAATTTTTTTGAAAATTTTGATATTTTTTGAAAATTTTTAAAATCATTAAATTTTTTGTAAATGCATTTTTTTTCCACATCACTCTCTTAAAAACTGAGTTACCATTTTTGGCACTTTTTGCACCGTATCTTCGGGACGCCTTCGCCAAAACCTAATCAGCACGTCTCCTTATCAATACGAATGTTTTTTGAATTATTCAAATTGGTTGATCGTTGTTTCCGAAATTGTCGACGAAAATTTGTATCCGCACACACGCGCACACACACACACATCTAGATCCTTCCCCCACAAAATAATGCCTAACGGCGGTTTTCGTGGAGACCCGAGGCAAGGGCAAAGCGGAAGTTTTTGTCGGTATTATACCAGATCGGTATTGAGTTCGACATACCCAGACAAAAGACCGGTCTGGGATGCATAAAGGCATTGCCTTCGCAATACAAAAAAACACACATACACACACACATGGAAAAAAACAAAAAAATTCACGTCAGAAATTAGATATTTATTAGTTCTATCAGTTTTTACATAGTTACATAAGTTATAAGTTAGTGAGCTGAGTGAACCTCGGCTATGGGTGCAGGTAAAATTTTTGTTAAAATGTTTCCCATCAGAGGGGACATAGTGTCAAACAATGCAGTAGTTGATATAATCAAAGCATCAAATAATTTGAACACAGCGCTATGCCCAGGATTATCAGATGTAGCCCAAAATCCGCTAACAAGCTCATGCGACGGTGTGAATAGTAAAGTAGAACCAATGGCTGAACTGTCAAAAATAATTTCAGAAAACGTCATTTTACAACGGAATGAGTCATTGAAGAGCCTTGAAAAACTGATAAGTGAACTGCACATGATTGTCAAATCAAAGTCAAATATGCATAAAGAAGTGAAGATAAATACATTCAACATAGCGGCTGTAATTAAAAGATTTATTGACTTAGACAACCAATTGATAGTGGAAATAGGCCGAACAACGGCAGATACGGAAGTAATGATAAATAAAGTGCAATGTGGTGAAACAGCTCCTATAGAAAAAAATGTACGGCAGGACACAAGCAAAGCCACAAGAAACCGAAAGTCACAACATATAAGCAATAGTTAGGTTAATGAGAAAAATGGTTTGCCAAGACGTCAGTCGATCATAGAAATATGTAATGAAGAACAAATCGAGGTAAATGACTAGCATAAAGTTCAGCCAAAGAAACAGAAAAAAGAGAGCAAGGGTACATCTGTGAGAACTGAATTTTTCCAAAACCAAATGCCTTATTGATCCGGCCTACCAAAAAATTAATTGTTCCAAAATCTTAATTTGCATCAAAAATAAATAAAACCAGAAATGTAGACTTGTTGATAACTTGTTGATTTTCTAGAGTTAATTTACAATCGAATTTACTCACCATGGCGCGTAGATAATCAGCAATATATTTTCAGTTTGGAAATTACAGCTGAAAGCTGCGAGAAGGTACTCAACTATGTCAAAAAATCGTTGCGAAAATCAGTTTCTGCCCATAGGCGGGGTGAAATGGAACGGCCAGGAGCAGGGGACAATTGGTCTAATATCTTATTTACAATTTTGAATAGATTTTACAAATGATAGCCATTTCATTGAGCCAAAAGAAGTAACTTATTCAATTACTTCTTTTAACTAAATTCATATTATTGTTTACTATTTTCTATTTGCGCTTTTGCCAGGGTAAAAGTTTAGTTGGTCGTTTTTATCCCACCCACGTGTAAGTTTTTATATAGGTTATATAAAAATTTTTGAATGTAACTTAAAATTAACAGTACATACAATAACAATATACTTCATATCATATTTAAATAACATATACTTAAATAATAGTGCTCACAATCAAAAAAACTAACAACAACAAAAAAAATCTATTATGAATTTTCAAACTCTGCCGTTTATCTCCTGATAGTACGTCGTAAGAGTTAAGGAGATGGCTGGTGATTAGGGAATGCAATCCTGGTATACCGGTATATCAAAATACCGGCATACCGGTATACCGAAATATCGGTACAACGCCAATTTTTCGGCGGGATTAATACTGGTATTTACCTTAAAAATACCGGTATTTTCGGCATTTTTACATAAGCACTTGTTTATACATAATGCTTCATGTAAACTGAAGACTTCCAAATGCAGATTCATTGAAAGCTCTTTATCACATTGAAGATAAACCACGAACAATACTTTCGCTGAGCAGCGGCGCCATCTTTGATTTTAGCTATTCGGTATTCGGCCAAATATCAAAAAAGGTGCCGAATAGTAACCGCATAACAATTTTAAAGTGACATCTGCGTCAAAATATTTTATATCATGATTACTCACAATCAACAAAATAAAAATTGCCACTTCGTATCTTTATACATAATAATCATAATGATAATATAGAACTATTATATTGTTCTGAAAAAAATACTCAACTATTATAGTATGTTATTATTTATCTTGATGAATAATCGGATCTCAAATCAGTTTTCGGTCTTTCTTACTCATAAGATTGTTTTTGGTGTAAAGTACTCAATATAATCGAAACTGATTGATTGTTGTTTCTAACTTAAGATATATGAACGAAATTTAAAGTTATTTATGTAATAAAAATTTAAAAATAAAAACCGAAAAATAAAAAATAAAAAGAAAAACCGGCATTGAAATCTTTTATCGGTATTGCATTCCCTACTGGTGATACATCATTCTCTCTACTTTCAAATATTGTTGTTATAAAATTCTTAACTTTACTTATGTCTGAGATATCGGTGGAGGACTTTTTGACCCGCGGACCTTTAAACCTTGCATTACCTAATATTTTTAATAGTTTTTGTTAATGGTATTATTAATTGATATATTTAAAAAATATTAATAAATCTAATAAATTCTTAATTATTAAATAACTTTTTTGTTGTTTTCACAAATAATGTGAAATGAATGATTTCGTCATACTATCAAGAAGAAAGTAATAAAATCAATTCAAAATTTTCATTATTTAAGTCAATGCATCTAACAAAAAGCCTATTTTTATATTTTATGCTTTTTAGTCTTCAAATATTTAAGGTCACAATGAAGCAAAGTACTTGAACAATCAGCACCTCCTAGGCCTAGTATGGAAGCCCTTAAGCTGCTTAAAATGGATGTTGCAGGAGAAGACTTCACATGCAGATGACCGGACAACCAACTCAGGCCTAATCTATAAAACAAATATTATGTTTATTTAAATCACCATTAACTAAGTTATAAATTAGAAAGTAAATAACTGGGAATTACAATAAACTAAATATCAGATTTTTATTTTTGAATATTAAAGCTTAATCTATGAGGAAAGGAATACAATATTATTTAGATGGCATCAAGTAAATAGACCTTTCTCAAATATTGATATTCCATTTTGCGCACATTATGTAAAAGAACTAGGTATAAATAAATGGCATACGTATGTATGCATAATTATGATATAGCTAATTCAATAAAAAATTTAAATGTGACAGTTTAAATTTTACTATAGTGAAATTCGCTTCAAGACATTTTATAAGCAAATAATTTTACATTTTTTCACCAAGAAACGGTTTAGACAATCGTTTTACAAAACTAATCAACACTAGTCCTTATTACCTTTGAAAAACTCATTAGTTAGAAAATGGAATGAAACATTTTTTCTGAGATGCGGCTAGCATTTATTATAAATTTGCATGAGTTATTAGATAATTCCTTGCGGCAATTTGCTTTATAAATTATTTGTTTGTTCGGAGAGTTTTCCCCATAATAAATATTGAAATGTTTTTTTTACAAATTTTATAAAAATATTAAATTTTGTAGCGAAAATTCAAATAACCCCACATGTGAAGAAGGAAAAATATTGGACATACCCCCAAATTGGTAACCAATATTTCTGTCGGTCAGTTCTAGTTCTTGAGTATCGATTATTATCGCAAATAATTCTTCTAAGGCACGCTCCTTCATCTTGAGAGGCTACAAGTACTGCATCAAAACTTTGAAGTATACGGCGGCCCAACTCGTTAATCTAGAGTATTTTACTGTACCGATTATCAACATATTTTAATGAAAAACAAACAAACCTAAATTTAAAATGGTGTTGGATTAATTGGTTACTTATGAAATTCACAAATCGTAATATTTTTGCAAATTTAATAACTAAAATACATACAAACAAAACAATGCACTCTGAATAAAGAGCCTAATACAGTTTGACAAAAAAATGTATTGATTTGTAAAAATGCACAAGAACATCATCACAATGAAAATACATGATAAATAAAAAAAAATACCAACATCGTCGGTGCTGTTTCTTGTTATATCTCTGCGAGTTCGAAATTCAGGAGCTGTTGGAGCAACACCAGGATCTACGCCCATTCCCATTGGAAGCATTGTCATCTGAACATTTGCATCCTAGATCAAAATAAATATTACAAACAATAAATTACTATATAAAATAGAACTCAACTCATTCAACGTTGAATAAGTTGAATTTCACGATATAGGTAGAGAGGGCATTTGCAGGGCTTGGAGATCTGCGGGTAAATAAAACTGTAAAGCAAGAATTTTTCAAAAGCAATCTTTAAAATTAGAAGGGTAAAAGTATATAATCAGCCATCACTTTGATTTTACGACGACGCTATCGGGAGATAAACGACAATATTGGAAAATCTGTAATAACAGTATTTTCTTTCGTTGTTATAGTAATCGCAAAAAAACGAAATTGAATTTTTTTATATATCTTTACGTGTCAGGTTTCCGAACATTTTTGCATGTTTTGTTAAAAAAAATTGACGAACGTGTGTTGTGTGTTCGGATACAAATTTTTGTCGACGATTTTGGGAACACGAATCAAAAGATTTGAATAATTCAAAATGCATTTGATTTTTATTGATAAGGACAAGGAACCGTGCTAACTTGTTTTTAAACAAGGCAGGTTCGGCCGTTTCAAAGATACGGGGCAAAAAGAGCCAAAAATGGTAATTCATTTTTTGAGAGAAGGGAACGTCCGATTTGAATAATTCAAAAACATTTTATTCATATTGACAAAATAAATTACCTTTCAAATTTGTGGATGCCAGGTTTAGCGGTTTCAGAGACCGACTGAAAAAAGTATAAAAAGGCTATTTAGCGGTCAAAAATTATTTTTAGACATACGCACATCAAATATTCATACATTTTATAGAAATATCAATAATTTCTTCTCTGACACGCAGCCCGATTGCTTTGAAAAAAAAAGTTCAAAATCTTAAGAAATTCAAAGTATGAAAAAACAAGTCCAAATTAAAAAAATCTAATTATTTAAATAAGTACATTTTTTTAGGATATTTCAAAATTCCCAAAAATTATATATTTTTTAAAGTTTTCAAAAAGTTTTAAAGCTTTTTTTAAATTTAAATATTATTGTACAGGAAGTTCCAGCAATTTGCCTTAAGACACGATGCCATGCACCACTAGTTTGGTTGTTGTTGTCAGTGCTGTTGTTTAGTTTACAATAGCTGAATATAATTTTCAAGTATACGTTATTTAATTGTTTTATAAGATGTATTATTCATTTTAAGTTAGATTTTTATAACCTCTATAAAAGCTTACACAAGGGTGGGTTAAAAAGAACCAACTAAAAGTTTATTCTGGCAATGGTGTAAACAATAAAAAACAAAATAGTAAATAAAAAAGTAAATTAATTTTAAAAAACAATTTTACAAGACATAATTTAAATAAATAATTTTTCCAACTCTGATGATGAATATTTTTGACAAATAACCAGATCAAGGTAATATACAGTGTTATCTCTGCGAAAGAAATTTTTTTCCATTTATATTTTGCATTGGTTGAATAATGTAGCTTTCAAATAAATCAATTTGGCTTTCGGAGTCAACACTCTACAATTCAACAGTGCCACAGAATTGTAAGAGTCATCAACAATGCCTTCGAGGTCAAACAATTCTGTTCTGCAGTCTTTCTAGATGTGAGCCAGGCTTTCGATAAGGTGTGGCACAAGGGACTTTTATCGAAGATTAGATCTTTACTTCCATGTGATTATTATAATATTCTAGAATCTTATCTCGCCAATAGGAAATTCAAAGTACGGGTCAACACTGAAACCTCAACACCTCATCAGATTGAGGCAGGAGATCCACAAGGCAGTGTTTTGGCGCCATTTTTATATATCCTCTTCACTACTGATTTTCCAACTTTACAATCAACCACAACAGCTACATTTTTTTACGACATAGCAGTTCTTTCGACACATGCTGATGCATCTAAGGCTTCGCTAATTTTACAAAGGCATCTAAATGTTATAGAGGATTGGAAAAAAATGAAGAATAAAAATAAATGAGAGCAAGTCTAATCATATAACATTTACATTGAACAAGACAATATGCCCAGAAGTACATTTTTATGGCCAAGCAATTCCAAGCACCGAATGCGTCAAATACTTAAGTATGCATTTAGATTGCAGGCTTACGTGGAAGGACCATATTCGCGCCAAATTAAATACTATAAAAATTCGAACCGCTAAACTATACTGGCTACTGGGACCCAAGTCAATTCTATCCATTGACAATAAACTTCTGATTTACAAGGTAGTAATAAAACCAATATGGTCTTATGGCAAAGAATTGTGGGGCTGTGGGAACAAATCCAACATAGTGCTAATGCAACGTGCCCAATCGAAAATATTGAGGCAGATTGCAGATGCTCCGTGGTTTGTTAGCAGTAAAACCTTACACGACGATCTTCATATTGAATTTATGAACAAAATTATACAAATCAGCAGTGTCAAACATTTTCAAAAACTACAACATCATACAAACTATATAGTCACTCAGCTTCTTGAGACACCAACTTCAAGAAGACTGAAGAATAAGCTGCTCGAAGATAATATAGAAGAACCTTATCACTTATTGAAGGGATTCTCTAAATATGATTGTAATATTTATTCGATACATTTATATGTGTGAATGAATGACATAAGCCAAATAGCTCATAGAATTGTTATGTATTCTGATTGCTATTGAAAATAAAATTTAAAAAAAACTAGTAACTAGTAGTTATGTAAAAATAACCGTATTTTTAAATTAAGTACCGGTATTAATACAGCCAAAAATTCGGGCGGTGATCCTTATTAATTTCTGTCCTCTTTCGAATGAGTTTATGATCAGACAGTTCGAAAATTATTGATGAAAAATTACTTAATTGTTTGTACAAATTTTGCAACTACTTATAATATCATACAAAATATTGATTCGCATTACATTTAGATCCTAATAAATATTCTTGTAAGATATAAAACAGAAATCAAAGGGTCAATGAGAAAAAATGTTTAACGTCATAAATACTGTTGCACTTATCACATTTAATCATAATTATTATTACCGAAGTTATGCACATTACGACTTGAAGCATAAAGCAACCAAAAGACAAAAATGCCAAAGTAGTAAGAGCAATGTCAAAAATCTCATGCAGAGCTAGATCCTTTTTGTAACTGCCATGATCTTCCTGTTCGTCACTATGATCTTCTGCATTACTGTCGTCATGACCGCCATGTGTTTCAATAAAATGATGAATTTGATGAGTTCCACCATATCCATAGTCATTACCTAAAAGTAAATGCATTAATATAAATCATCTCATCATTGGTAATTCCAAATTAAAATAAATTTAACCTGCACTAGCTGGGTATTCGTAAATCTCATGAACGTCGCCTCCTCCATATTTAAATATTTTCTGATTAGCTCGATAATCTTGCTGATTAACCGCTACTACTTCTAAAATTTAGAGTATTTGACTGAATTTATTTATTGTTCAATTTTATAGATAGTAAACAAAATTATTTTAATTTTAATTAGTAGAACTAAAAAATAATAGTTTATCTTGATTAAATAACTTTGAAATTAATTATTCGTTATTCATGTATCATTTTCACATATAAGAATGAAAATATTTTTATGATAGTAAATAGTAAAAGTAGAAAGGAAATTTTTCGAATAAATAAAAATAATACATTTTAAATTAAAAAAGAATCATTAAATTAAAATAATTAAGCTAAACTCGGGTAATGTCTGTTCCGAGCAATTTTAATTAATTAATTTTAAACATTGTAATTGTTTTTTTTTTGTTTAATAAAATATGATTTCAAAAAACTGAGAACGTCTATCGAATTGCTACTTAGACGTGTCCTTTGTTTACTCACAAAATTTTCTGAAATAGAAAATACTCTCATACTTGCGACCAAATTATGCTTAATTGTTTTTAAAGCCTGATATAATAATTCTAAGTTTTTTGTTCTTTGTGGCTTCTAGAGTTTAAAACTATTTTTCTAGTTAGAGTTCAAGAAGAAGTCACACTGATTTAAATTAATATATACACTGGTATAAAAATGTAAATTGATATATAGAAAACTATTAATTGAACCATTGCAGATTGATAAGATATGAAATGCTATTGAACCGATATGATTTCAAGAATCAAAACGCTTTCATCTATATTTTATATTTGGTTATATTTGTCATTTTCCACATATACAGTAAAAACCGACTTTTTTCGCTACAAAACCGGTTTTCAAATTCCATAATTTTCGCCAAAAAAACGGTTTTTAAAACCGGTTTTTAAAAACCGACAAACCCTTATATTTACGTTCTAAAATCATAATTTTTCTATTAAGCGAATCAGCGTATAGGTTTTAAGTCAAATGATTTAAGATTAAGATATCTAAGTTGAATAATAATTTATAGTTGTATAAATATCATCGATGCATTGCTCCTATATCGCAAAAAAATCGAAAATGCAAATTTTTATTTATCTTTATGTTTCAGAGGTGTCTGAACATTTTGGCATACTTTATAAAAAATGGATGTATGTGTGCGTGTGTCTGTATATGTATGTGCATGTGTGTGTATGTGTGTGTGCGTGTTTGCAGATACAAATTTTTGCCGACGATTTCGGGAAAACGGATCAACCGATTTGAATAATTCAAAAAACATTCGATTGCTGTTGATAAGAAAACGAGCTGATTAATTTTTGGCATAAGCAGGTCTAGCCGTTTCGGAGATACGGGAAAAAAAGTGCCACAAATGGTAACTCAGTTTTTAAGAGAAAGGAGCGTCCGATTTTAGTAATTCAAAAAACATTTTACTTATATTGACAAGATAAAGAATTGATAATGATGATTTTTAAAAAAGCAGGTCTAGCGGTTTCGGAGATCTAGTAAAAAAAGTAAAAAAAATGCCATTTGGCGGTCAAAAATGATCATTAGACATATGCACATTAAATTGTCAGATATTTTATAGAGATTTTAACAATAATTATAAATTTTGTTTATATTTCTATAAGTTCCGTACCAATGTTTATCCGTTAGACAGCGACGCGGCGTTTACGCGCTTCGATATTTCATTTCTATGCAGTACGATTGCTTTGAAAAATAGTTCCGAATTTCCAAAATATTTCAAAATGAAAAAAAGACATTTTGTTTCAGTCTTTTTTTTTCAAAAAAGTAAATTTTTGTCAAAAATTTATAGTTTCTCAAAAATCTAATTTTTTTTTAAATATTTTTTTTCAAAAATGTTATCCTTTTGAAAAAAAAAAAATTCTGGTTGCTCCGAATTTTTAGCGATATTATAACTTACCCTACGAGAAGTTTATGATATTTCAATAAATTGAACAATGAATGTATGAAGTTGTACCTTACCTTGCTTAGTGTTTGGCATGTGATTAACATATTGAGGTATAGCATAGCCAGTGACTTGGCCTCTTTCATACTCTTCCTCATCTGATTCAGAACCCCTAGATATATTTTTGACTGTAAGAGAATCATCATGTAAGGGCGGTTCATCATAATGACGATAAATATCTTCCAATGTGGTCATTCTGTAAAAATAATTTTGATACAAAATGTAAGCGAATTGCAGAAATAGTGGATAAAGTTATCTAAACATATAAATTTGACATAAATATTTTACCTATTTAGCCAGTTTTTATATCCTAATGACCCTTCGTCTGACAGCATCTTTTCTTTAACAACGTCTATATCTCCCAAATTTCCTAAATAAGATTTGCGGTTAGCCGATTGCGACTCTACAGTGGATTTCTGACTATCGATGTCTCTTCCGCGCAGTGGTTGAGGTACAATTTCTGTTAAAATTTGATCAGCGACGAAATTTCGGCAAAGATATTCATTCATCATCTTTCTGCAAACATATAGAAAATATGTATTCAATATTCTCCAAGTTATCAAGTAATCGAGCAATAAACTGTTGTGTAAATGATAGATAGATAGATAGAATAAAAATATTTCAATAAATATAAATACGTAGTATTTCTTATTTCGTTCGGATTTTTAACTTTTCGTAGTGTAATTAATCGTAAAAAATCGAAATTGAAAATTTTTGCATTTCTCGACGTTTTGAAGGTTTCTGAACATTTTGGCATATTTCAGAAAAAATGGATGTGTGTGTGTTTTGTGTGTCTGCATTTTTTCGTTCACGTTTTCGGGCGCACGGATCAATCGATTTGAATGATTCAAAAAACATTCGACTCCTATTGATAGGGAGATGTGCTGATTAGTTTTTAGCAAAGGCAAGTCCAGCAGTTACGGAGATAAAGAGCAAAAAGTGCAAAAAATAGAAATCAAGTTTTTGAGATAACGGAGCATCCTATTTGAATGGTCTAAAAGTCATTCAATTAGTAATGCTTGGGAGAAGTGGTTATTAGTTTTTCGCAAAGGCAGGCGCAGCCATTTCGAAGATACAAGACTAAATGTGCAAAATTGGGTAGTATTTGAGAGAACTAAGCGTCCGATTTAAATGATTCAAAGAACTTTCTGCTTGTTTTAACAAAATAATTGATTTTGGAATAAAAAATTGTTCCAACTTTTTTTTTCAATTTTTTTTTGTATATCGAAAATAATGCAAATTTTATTTTTAATTCTGACTAAAATTCTAATATTCTTTACACAAATAATTTCAACTTTGCAATTCAGTTTATATAATTCTTATAAATATTAGACAATGTTACAATATTTATAATAATCTATTTGAAATATTTATTATTTCTCGAACATTTTGTTACGGTACGAGAAGTTCCAGCAATTTTCCACCTGACTAGTTATTGTGTAAATGTGTATAGCAAAATCTATAAGTCAGTGGCGTAACTAGACCCTCTGGGGCCCGTGGCAAAGCCTTCCAATGGGGCCCTATCGTGGTACTCAATTTTTAATTTATCTAATTTTGTTTAATAAATGTTAATAGTCATTTACACGCTGTTTTACTACTGGCTAAAACAATTGTTGATGAATTTTATCACGAATAGCAAACCAACTTCGACTAGTTTATATTTTATGGCTATAAATTAGGAAATTATACAAAAGGCAGAAAAGTCAAGTATTGATTCAGAGGAATAATTATAATTTAGTTGTAATAATATAAAAATAACAAAAAATACATAAAACTTAATTTTTCTTGAAAATCAAACATGAAATATCAGTGAATATATTCAACGTTAGAATAAATGGAAATTAAAAAACGTATTTTTTTAATAAAAATTTAAAACAAATACCACTTTCTTAAATTTAATTATTAAATAATCTTCCATTAACAATTTCTTCTTTTAATTTCATGATTAAGTAGTGACGTTCGATCTTTATGAAAATTTATGATTTAACTATTTGGTATTGGTATTTTGCCTTGCGGCAAGTTACATGAACTTCACGATATGTATAAATAAACGACTTAATCAATAAAATATAAATTAATTTATGAGTAATTAAAAGTATTCCGAGTGGATTTATTATACATAATTGAAAACGAACGAACACGTTAACTCAGAGTATTCTCTAAAAGCTTATACATTTCTGAAAACAATTCAGGCGTTTTTGAGAAAACGTCGATCAAAAGTCTAATTTTGACTAATGCCAAAAGAACGATACTAATAAAAACTAATCAGCACGATTCCCAACCAATATCTATCGAACAGTTTTTGAATTTTCAAAATCGATTCAGAATTGCGGGCTAAAACGTGGATGGAATTTTTTTCATTTTTCTGCGATTTACAAAGAAACGGCCCAGCCGATCGTCGCTCAAAACCCAGAAACGCTAGTCCTCATCGAGATACATCGAATGGCTTTTAAATTTTTGAAATCCGTCCATCCGTTTTGGAGAAAACGTCGATTTACGGCAAAAAATCCATACATACATACACATATGTAGCGAGGTACTATCTTCTTCTCTTCCTTGTGTCCACTGCGAGCTCCGGTAGGCAAGTGAAGGGCCGAGTATTGCTGCGCTGTGGTTTTATACCATAGAGGATAACGGTGCATGGCAGGGACGCGCAACCTGACGTAGTGCGCCAGGGCTGTGCAACCTTATCCTATATCACCCCCCCGCTGAGTGTGTTTGGCTCGAATATATAGGCTGGTTTTGCTCTATCGATCGATATCTTAGTTTCCTTGCCGTTTCTAATCACTGTCATAGTTTTATCCGAACGGCCCACTACTTCGTATGGTCCTGTGTACGGCGGTTGTAATCCTGTCCTTATGGTGTCTTCCCGGATAAAAATTTGTCGAGCCGTTGATAAATCCGGGTGGACAAAGCTGTAATTATTTCCGTGATTCGAAGCGGGCGTTGCCTTGAGCGTTTTGACCGTTTGTCGAAGTTTTTTGAGAACCTGGTGTGTGTCTTGTGTGTTCTGATGGTCTTCGAAAAATTCTCCTGGAAGCCGAAGAGGTTCGCCATACACCATTTCAGCTGGAGAAGCTTGCAAGTCTTGCTTCCATACAGACCGCAATCCGAGTAGTACTAGCGGCAACGCATCCAGCCAGCTCTTATTGTTGTGGCACATAATAGCTGATTTAAAGGATCTGTGAAAACGCTCGACCATGCCGTTTGCACTGGGGTGATAAGCTGTGGTGTAAGTTATTTTCGACCCTGTAAATTTACCAATGGCGTCAAATAGGCGGGATTTAAATTGGACTCCGCGATCGCACGTTACTTCTGTGGGGCAGCCAAAACGAGATATCCATCCCTCTATAAATGCTTGCGCTACTGACTCGGCTGTTATATCTCGAAGTGGAATGACTTCTGGCCACCTTGTGAATCTACATATTACTGATAGGCAATACTTGAATCCTCGTGCGCTTGGAAAGGGTCCGATCAGATCTAAATGTATGTGAGAAAATCGTCGGGTAGGAAGCAAAAATTTACCAAGGGGTGCTCGCGTGTGGCGATGAATTTTGCTGCGTTGACAAGGAATGCACTCCCTTGTCCAGGCTCGACAGTCCTTGTTCACTGACGGCCAAACAAATCGTTGGGATACCATTTTCACTGTGGCATTTCTTCCAGGATGGCTTAGGTTGTGAAGTGCGTTAAAAACTTGTTTTCTTAACGTCTTCGGAACGAAAGGTCTTGGAATATTAGTGGATACATCGCAATATACGTTGATGGTAGTACCCGGAAGACGTACTGACTTTAGGACCAACGAAGAACTGTTCTTTAGGCAGCTTTGCAGTTCCGCGTCATCTTGTTGTTCCTTTGCGATTATGTTATAATCTGCATTCGACGAGACGTGTAATTCTTCGATCCGGGATAAAGCATCAGCTACGACGTTTTCTTTTCCTTCAATGTGCTTTATTTCCGTTGTAAATTGTGCTATGAAAGTTAGTTGATTCAGTTGAACTGGCGGCAATTTGTCCTGTTTCTGTTGGAAGACAAATGTTAGCGGTTTATGGTCTGTGTATACTGCGAAATGTTGTCCATCAAGAAAGTGCCTAAAATGTCGGATAGCTTCAAAGATTGCTAGAAGTTCTCGGTAGTATGTTGGCCATTCGCATTGGCGTTTAGAAATTTTCTTCGAGAAGAAAGCTAGTGGTTGCCATGTTTTCCCTATTTGTTGTTGCAGCGATGCTCCTATTGAAATTGTACTAGCGTCTGTAAATAAAGCTAACTTGCCGTTGACCACTGGATGATGTAAAAGAGTAGCATTTGATAGGCTTTCTTTGCAATTAATAAAAGCCTGCTGAAGTTGCTCGTTCCATTCTATGATAGTGTTATTTTTAACGTTTGGTCCTTCTAGCAGTTTTTGAAATGGAGCTTGCAATTCAGCCGCACGGGGAATGCATCGGCGAAAATAATTAATTATTCCTAGAAATCTGCGCAATTCTTGTATGTTAGTAGGAGGTTTGATTCTTACAAGAGCTTCCACTCGTTCCTTAATTGGGCGTATACCATCTTTAGAGACTGTGTATCCCAAAAAATCAATTTCCGGGACACTAAATATGCATTTCTCACAGTTGATTATGATACCATACTGCTGCAGTCTTTCGAAAATGCTTCGTAGATGTCTTGCATGCTCTTCCTGGTTTCTTGATGCAATTAGCAAATCGTCGATATAAGCATAGCAAAAATCCATACCTTGTGTGACTTCGTCGATAAACCTTTGAAAGGTTTGGCCTGCATTACGAAGTCCGAAGGTCATATAAGGAAATTCGAAGAGTCCGAAAGGAGTCGTAATTGCTGTTTTTGGTATGTCCTCCTCGTTGACCGGAATTTGGTTGTAAGCCTTTACCAAGTCGATTTTGGAAAAAACTTTCATTCCTTGAAGATGCTGCGTAAAATCGTAAATGTGCTTTACCGGGTATCTGTCTGGAATAGTTCGAGCGTTGAGTGCCCTGTAATCTCCGCACAGGCGCCATCCGAGGTTTCGTTTAGGTACCATGTGAAGCGGCGCGGCCCAGGGGCTGTTTGATCGTCGAGCGATTCCGAGCTTCACCATTTCTTCAAATTCTGTTTTAGCTATTTGAAGGCGTTCCGCGTTGAGCCGTCTTGGTTTAAAATAAATCGGAGGCCCTGGTGTTGTATTGATGTGGTGTGTTGTTGAATGCTTCACTTTGTGAGGTGCTCCTTGAGGTCTGGTAATATCCGGAAATTCTTGCAATAGGCTGTGGTGCTCCTTTCGCAAGGTTTTAACAGTTGGGACGACTGCATCTGTTACTTTTCCCATCATTTGTGCTTTTGTATCTCCCTCTAGTAGCCGTTTGTTGCGCAGATCTACCAATAAGTTATAAAATGATAAGAAATCTGCTCCAATAATGGGTTTCTCGACGTCGGCTATCACAAACTTCCAAGAAAAATTCCGTTTAAGGCCGAAGTTCAAAATTAATTGTACTGTCCCATAGGTCGCCATTTTCGCACCATTTGCCGTATATAACGTATATTCGGTACGCGGATGCTGCCCTTTCAGTTTTCTGCGAGGGTATACACAAAGATCCGCGCCCGTGTCGACTAAAAATTCTTGTTTTGATGCTTTGTCAACAACTAATAGGCGGCTTGTTGAACTAATTAATTGACAGTCATGCGCCGCATTCATTGACTGTCGTTTAAGTTTAAAGATTTAAATGAACAAGGTTCATTACACTTCCGTGCTTTAGCTCCAAATCTTGAGTGGTACTGGCAATAGCCACGTGGAGATGGATGCACGACCTTCGACCTCGATGGTAAGGTTCGGTACTTGGCTTGGGTGAGGGCTTCAACTTGCTTAGCTAACAAGTCAATCTTCGAATTTAATGTAGCGTTCTGGTTTTGAAGCTCCAAAATTTGTTCTGAAATGGTATGATTTATTTCTTTAGACGTGGATGGAACTTGTTTACTAACCGCTTGGATTTGATGCTGCAACGATATATCGGCGATTTTATCCGCCATGTCTGCTATTTTATCCAACTCGAGATTGTCGTGTGCTGATATGATGGCTTGAATATTTTCTGGTAGCCGCCTGATCCACAATATCTTGAGAATACTATCGTCGACTTTTGACCCGCCTAGTGCGCGCAAATGACGCAAAAACTGCGATGGTCGTCTGTCGCCGATTTCTTCTCTGTCCAGTAACTGTTCTAACTTGCGATCTTCTGACATCGATACTCTCTTGATGAGAGTACATTTCAGTGTTTCATACTTATTCTCTGTTGGTGGTTTCAAAATAATGTCTTCAACCTCGGCTGCGTATTGCGTCTATAAGTATGCGATTGCTACATAAAACTTTGTAGTGTCAGCTGATATATTCGAAAGCGCAAATTGTCCCTCAAGTTGAGCAAACCATAGCTGAGCCTTTTCAGGCCAAAATGGCGGAACCTTGACACCGACTCTTTCGACCTGCGATGGCGGGAAAGATATTTGCTCTGGCTTCTCCGGTTTTGACATGCTCGACTATTCTCACGTCAGGGGTCACCAATGTAGCGAGGTACTATCTTTTTCTCTTCCTTGTGTCCACTGCGAGCTCCGGTAGGCAAGTGAAGGGCCGAGTATTGCTGCGCTGTGGTTTTATACCATAGAGGATAACGGTGCATGGCAGGGACGCGCAACCTGACGTAGTGCGCCAGGGCTGTGCAACCTTATCCTATACATATATACTTTTAACAAATTTGGTCTCATTCGATTCAGAATGGCTTGAAATGGGGCCCCGTTCCACGAGCGTAAGAAATATCTAAAGCAAACCAATGATTTATAAAAAATTAAATAACTTGGACGTAGTTATCGAGCGGTATTGAACTTTAACTTGTAAGCTAATGCTTTAAAAAAATTATTTCTGCTGCAAAATATTTTGAAAAGATTTTAAAACTTTGTATGTGCGTCACGAATACGACGAAATTCAGAATTAAAACAAAAAAATTACGTAAAAACTTTAGGACAGAAATGTCTATCAGACTTGTCACTATTGTTCCTAGGGACAGAAACTTTAGAATCTAAAGATCTCTTAATAATTCAGTTTTTCGAATAAGAGGAGAATATTTTTATCTGAATCATTTATGAAAAGCTCGGAAAATTATAGAAAATTAGATAAAAAAATAATTAGAATGATAAATAATTATTCTTCTAATTTTATGTATTTTTATATTTTGTGATAAAAAAATTCTTCTTTAGGGGGCCCCCAAACAAATTTTGATACGAAGCCCCGCGAAGGCACGCTACTGATGTTGACAAAAGAGTTCTTCACGTGTTAGTTTTTTATCTTAAAAGTCGTTAAAGTATAAATTATTATATATACAATAATAAATTCATTAATTCATTCTTGATATATTATATAAACTAAAGATTTTCCGAAGCAGATCCATCGCAGCTCTTTATCGTATAAAAGATAAAACATAATACATTCGCTATGCGGCGGCGACTTCTTTGGTTTTAACTAACTAAATATTCGGCCGAATGTAAGTTCGATGCAAGCTTCGTTGAATAAATAACTCCGACTTTGAACTTAAAAAATATAAAATATAAGTTTCAAATGAAATAAAATTTAGGTACAATGTAAAAAGGTATTTCTGAGTCTCGGTTTCCTGGGCCGGGGCCCCCTTAGGTCGGGGGCCCGTGGCATTTTGCCACCCACGCCACCCTATAGTTACGCCACTGCTATAAGTGAGTCTAAATGAATGAGACGTAAAACAAGTACTATCTGAAATATTTTTCCTTAAAAGATGCTCTTTTGAAGTAAAACTTTTTTAGGCGCGACTAGGGTGTAAATCAAGTCTGATTGGTCATCGTATTTGTGCGAGGCTGCTTTGTATGCGTGACTTTATACGTGCGTACGTCACCGAAAGCGTGAAGCATATTGTTCGTTTTTTGGTTTTTGATGTCATTACATTTTAAGGTTAAAGATTGGAACAAATCTTGAATTAATAAAATATGTCTGTATCGGAAGAATATTTTATCCCGTCCCCCATAAATAATTACCGTGCAAATAATAAAGAAAATAAAAAACCTGTGCCGTGTAAGAAACGTAAGTTTATTAAAGTAATTTGTATTATTCGTGGTTACTATAAATTTTCGAGGTTATTAAAATGGAAATTATAAGACAGGTACTACAACTGTTTAAAGAATAAAACTGTATCGCCAGCAAAAAACTAAAAAAACAAGCAATCAATAATTTTATATTAATTTTAATTACATGAAGTTCTTTAAACACAATTACATGACAAGGAAAATTGTGAAAAAAATAATTATTTTGGCGTTGTTGAACATAATAATTCTCTGCATTTTCATAGATATTAAAAAATATTAAAGCAGTACAGCTTCATTCTAACATGCCGAAGATATATCTTTTTCAGAATTATATCTCAAACACCCTTGGAAGTTTAGAAAAAATCTACACGTTTTTCGTTTATGATAGCTATTAAGTATAACAAAGTTGCATATTTTTATAAATAATAAGGAATAAATTGTTTTTCAGATATATTACTCGAACTAAGAGATCAAGCACAGCAATAGTTTGTGTAGCTGTGTATCATTTATATACAGATATACTTTATAATGGACATCTACCCAGTTTATTCATTGCCAGTGTTAATGAAATTATTAAAGATTGTTATATTACAGCTGTCCACTGTGTGAACGAATATTATAGAATTATTAATCAGCAATTACTTTATTTCTCTAATAAAAGTTCACGTTTTAGATTCTAATTCCAATGACAAACCGATCGTGTCATATTTGAAGTATGACTTTAATTGCATTATTGTTCTCAAATATTATAAATATTTTTAACGCTATTATAAATATTTTTAATGCTATTGCAAATTTATAATTTATTAATATATTATTATGTATAATGGTTGACATTAAAAAATGTGTGCATCATGAATGTTATCATATTACTGATGAACATTATTCAAAATTGTTATATGATGTATTCATTTTTAACTTAAATGCCATCTTATACAATAGAAAAAAGTTTTACTTCGAATTGCGTGTGAACCTTATGCGCACTCTTTTTATAACTACTTCTTTTTCAAATAGTGAAAATTTAATAAGACATTTGATAAAATACGCTGGAGTTGTTTTGTTTGCCATATCCTGGCCGATCTGGCTTTGGGTGTGATGTGTGAGCAGTCTAACTCTATTATAAATGGAATATTTTTGCAACGCAATCATCAAATTAAAAAAAAAGATTAAATAGAAAAATTATTTATTCCATTAAACGTTTCGACACATGATGTGTGTCATCATTCAGTAATCTAAAAAACATATTACATAAATACAAAAGTTGATAATAAATATAAATATATTAAAAGGAAAAAATTATACATACTAAACCAGGAAAAACAACGGAACAAATTTTAGTAAAAAAGAGTAATATACTTATATATTAATAACGAGGAATTAAAGGAGCACATATTGCCCTCCTATATTGTATGTTTTCAATAGCGGTGCGTTATGAACACTGATCAAGATTACGCAGCAAGTGTGGATTGAGTGGGAGCGGGGTGCGAGAAACACAAGGGGAATGAGAAACAGAAAAAAAATTTAGCGAACGAAAGAATCTAAAACTATATAGAATTACTTTTCATGAAATTTATAATGACTTTATAACTGTCATGTAAGGGATGAGAGGAATTACGTTTGTTGACACAAGAAGTATTAAGGGATGTAAGTAAAGACTCAACTATCTTTCTAATGTCACTTTTTTTCAATGTATAGGATGTAAGGATTGGACATGTTAAAAGTGTGGTTCAAGTTAATTATATGTTTTTGAAGCATAGTTTTGAATTGATTTGGGTTTCTAAAATTATATATATATGTTGATTAACCCTCTTGCATATTGAAGAGATATTAATTATTGGTTCTCTTCTTGATATGTAAAAACAAACACTTTTTAAGATTTATATATTTTACTAGCTGACCCGGCAAACGTTGTTTTGCTAAGTAAGGTATATTCTAAACAATGTTTAGAGAATCAAAAAAAATTATACATGAAGTGTATAAGGATGTGTCATTTGGATGCTATATACAATGAGATATTATAAAAACAATAAACTCCATTTAGTATAGGAGCCAGCAACGTTTTGAAAACAATTTTAGTCAGGCTGGTTTTTTGGTATGTGGTCCTTGGTGCTCTCTTGGTTAGAGTACGGGCCGTCTGGCAGTGCGCAGCCAATTTGTACAGCGCGATTTCAAAATTTTGAAAGCATTTTAGTCAGCCCAATTTTCGTTTTTTTGACTTCGAATAGGTTCACCAGACTCACATTTTTTGTTGCCAGACATTTTGGGCGCTGCTAAATATGTGCCAGACGCCAATTTATTTATTAATTTTTTTAAAAATTCAAATCATTTTAGTCCGTCTGAAATTTTAGTATTATGTTCGTTAAGGGTAAAAACACATAAAATTAATTTGCCAGACGTTTCTGCAGTTGTTAACCATGTCTGGCAAGCAAAAATGTCTGGCAATATGATACCTGTAGACAGAGTGAGACAATCGCCAAATACATTGGCGCGAATGAAACAAAAAACTATTATACTCGTAAGAGCGCAATACGTTTACTAGGCAGAAAACCATAAGAAAAATCAAGTAACTATGTTAGACAGATGTGTTTGTTATAAACTTCTCTGCAAAATTGTGTTTATACCATTTTCTTTAGAATCACCGTTTCTTACAAATTGCCATGTGAAAAGTTAAACAATTCATATTCCTCATAATATGCAGCCTTTATAAATACATCATCGAAGGTGAATTATGAGTGAAAAATAAAAATCCATTGATTTGGGTTGGATAGATGAGTTTAATGAGTCTTTTGATATATCACATTGTAGTATTATTGTACCAATGTGGGAGGGTCGCATACCTGATTGTTTTGAAGGAATTAAACGAAATAATTATGTATAAATGAATGCGAGGCGTGTTGCAGCATCCAAAGTGCTTAAACAGTTATCATATTGAATAAATGTACCAGTTTCTAGTACCAACACATGAGAAGGAAGATAAACTGTAGCTATATTACTATATTATTGTATCATTAAGTCATAAGACGTATACATCTGTATAATAGACGTCTTTATTCGTTGTTAAAAAAAACGATATTCCCAATTATAATCTTGATTTAAGAGACCTAGGTCGAATGACTATCATTATATAGTTATACATATTGATCTAAAATGATCTCATTTGAATTTTTGAATTATTAAATACACTTCGATTTTTGAAAAACATTGCTCAATTTACAGCTAAAAGCTGAAAGAAAAAAGAGCGGAGAATGTTTGCTGTACAATATATCTTATATATAAAAATGAAGCTTCTCTTTCAAATGTCCGAATAAAACTCGAAAACGGCTGAATCGATTTGGCCAGTCTTAGTCTTGAAAAATTCGTGCCAATCTAGAGATGGTCGGAAAGGTGAGATATTGTTTCAAAATCGCGTAGAAACTTCACATTTTTAA